AGCAACAAAAAAACCGGGGGCGGGGGGGAGAGGAAGATTTAACAACCTCAACTTTTTTTTTTTTGAAGCTCTTACAACGAGAAAATGGAGGGGACACATCTGGGTGGGAGGGGGGAGAGGGAGGAGGGAGGGAGGCTTTGGTGATGGGACACAATAACTAACTACATTGTATATTGACAAAAAAAAAAACCTTAGAAAAAGAACATTTGATTACTTACACTGATTTCAAACCTTATTATAAAGCTTTTAATATAATTATTATATTATGATAATGAAGATATTGTGATATCGGCATTAAAAAAAGAGATCAATGGAAAAGAAACAGGTCAATACATATATGGTTCATTAATTTTTGAGAAATGTGCAAATGCAATTCAGTGGAGAAAGAACAGGCTTTTTAATAAAAGTTGCTGAAACCACTGGCTATCTATATGCAAAATAAAACTCTGATCCATACCTTGTGCCATATACAAAACTTGAAATAGATCAACAAATTATACAACTGAAATGATATAAATTCTCTGAGAAAACATAGCAGAAAATCTTTATGACCTTTGGTTAAGCAGGGTTTTTAGACAACACACTACAAGTATAATCAATGAAAGAAAAAAAGGATAAATTGGACTTAATCAAAATTAAAAACCTCTGCTCTTCAAAAGACTGTGTTAAGAGAACAAAAAGACAAATGACAGACTATGAGAAAATATTTGCAAATCACACTTGTGGTATCCATAATATTTAAAGAACTTTAAAAACTTAATAAGAAAACAATTCAATTTTAAAAATGGGCAAGACTTGAATAGGCACTTCACCAAAGGATACAGATAAATGGCAAAAAAAAAAAAAAAAAAAAAAAAAGCACATGAATAGATGCTCATCATAATTAGCATTAGGGAAATGCAAATTAAAACCACAATGTGATAACACTATGCATCTATACAGCACTTTAAAATTAAGTTTGACCATAACAAATGTTCTTAAGGATGTTGTTATGTATAAAAATACAAGGAAACATGTTAGGTAAACAAATTACATTACTTAACATCCTCAGAGCAGTAGTTTTATTGAAAATCAGAATTGACAAATAAAACAGGTGGGAAAAATGTTTGAGAAGCTGGCTAGGTTAGTTCAATGAATGTGTTCATGCACTGATGTCAGATGGAGAGTCAGACTACTGTAAAGGCATCTAGAACTGGGAAATGAAAGTGAGAATGGGGGATGATGCAAATCCACTACTTTTTATCTTTAATACCTCTCACAACATTTTCTTTAATCTTGCCTGGTCCCTTATTTTATTGTTATTTACTTGTTCATTTGTTTTTTTTAAATTTATTTATTTTTTTATTTTTTTACAATCTAAGATGCTGCTGTGGAGAATTTGGGGGGAGGGATAGAGGAAAAGTGGGAGGGAAATAGGGTGGCAGACAGAGGAAGCGGGGGTGCATGGTCAAAGCCTGCAGCACTCGCCTCATTCCGGCAGGGGAGACCAGGCGGCTTCCTGCAGTGGCTCAGTCATTGCTGGGCTTGATACAGATGTCTGGAGGTTGTGGCTGAAGTCCTCGGTGGCACCTCACTGCCCCAGCTCAGGAGTCCAGAGCACTTCAGTGGCAGCTTGGTGGTCATTGCTGGGCTGCTTGCATATGTCAGGGGGCATGGTTGCCTGATCCTTTAATCTGGCCTGTCTTGGGACTGGAACTGAACTTCTGTGTACTACTAAGGGTGACACCAATGCCCAAGATACAATATCCATGTGACCAAATCGATTGTGTGAGTATATTCCTAAAGGAATTTCACAACTTCACCTCACATTAGAGCTGTGTATTTAGCCCCATTATAAGCAGCAGGAACAGCCCTATAATTCTTTATCTGTCAAATCTAACACATCTCCTTCGGTATGGGGCAAAGGGGAAGCCCTGGTAAGACCGATGTTAGTGCCTGCTTTAAAGGTAATTAGTACAGCTGAGCCAGGGGAGCAAGGGTGTGGGTTAAATGCCCATTAAACACGTTTAGTGTGAGATTTAACAATAAAAAAATTTTAACATCTGAAAGTCCTCTTCTTGCATACATAACTTCATCTAAATATTTCTTGTGCAACTACTAATTAGTTATAATCATCTTAGAGGAAATTAGTACTAATAACATTTTTACAATGGTCAACGATATTTGAGCAATATAATTAATCAACATAAATAGATCATTTATACGAAAATTCTGTTAAATGAAGGAGAAAACAAAGAATAGGAGAGTCAACAAAAAATGTAGTAGTTACCATAAATACTCAGTAACAAGAGATAAGCAAATACTGAGTACCAAGAGCTCTTAAACGCTTTACTGACAAAAAAAAAAAAGGGAAAAAATTTTTCTTCAGAGTTAATGAGATTAAATCCTTAAGTTGTTCTACCAAATTTATATATTAAGTAGTTAAATAGTCTCTCCATTTCTGGCTACCACTGTTTATCTCAAACAGTTAAAAACTTTTACGGTGTCCATCCACAAACAGACCTTATCAGATTTCAAATGGCCAGCAATATTAGGCTTCTGAGCCCTGGAATCACATAGATACTGGTTACAGTGACCCAGTTTTATAGAAATAACAATTTAGGTTTCAACACTGAATCATTTTCAGGTCTGTGGTATGTAATTAGACAAGTTTCTATAATAAGCAATACCAAGCTCTTCCTGCTTTAAATTAAAACCCCAATCAGTTCAATGTTAAGGGTTCTTAGCATACACAGTGACGGGTTGCATTCTTTAAATTTCCCTAGAGGGGTTCACTTGCCTACATGGATGTTTCAGCCAGTCAAGGATACAGATGAGGATGTTGACAGGCATTTGATAGACCTTTGAGGGAATATTTTTATCTTCCTCTCACTTCTTAGTGAGTAAACAGAATGTTGTGGATTGACTGTGTCCCACAGACTTCATATCTTAGAAACTTAAATCCGCACTGTAACTGCTGAGGGTGGGAAACCCTATTATGGTAATTCAAAGGTAGGGCCTTGAAGACATGATTAGTTTGCAGCACCATGCCGTAGTGAATGGATTTATAATGGTGGTCATGGGCACGGTTCTGAGGGCTTTATAAGGACAGTTCCTGAGGGACTATCTCTCTCTCTGATCTGCCATTTTCTGTAAGACCCCTGGGTCACTATCACCATCACCAAGGCCTTCGCCAAATCTGTTCCTTGGACTTTGAACTTCCCAGTCTCCGAAACTATAAGCAATAAATTTCATTTTCTTTATAAATCACCCAGTTTCAGGTATTTGTTATAAGCAACAGAAATGGATTAATACACAGAATCTTCCATTTCCAACATTTACTTTAGAAAAATGCTTCAACTTATCTATAAAACAGGGGTAATAAGCTATTCTTTTCCTTTTAGAAACATTATTACATTCAAACTAATACGATACTTTAATATAATACTATTATTATCATTTTATGACATATTAGTTTGTTACATATAAAATAAAATAGTTATTAAATAATAAAACAAAGAATGTAATAAAGTTTAGTTGTTTGTTATATATTTTTAAAATTTTAATACAAAGATTTTAATAGTTGTACACAGAAAGCAAAAAACAGTTTACATACATGCATGATGAGCTTTAACATTTCTTTATGCTGTACACCCTTAAGTGATTACACTGACTAATGGGGAATGCCAAGCGTGTCCATCACCATTTGAATAGCTTGCAGGGAATTCGTGATCTCTTCCATGTTATCTCTTCCCAAAACCCAATCTGGCTTAAGTCTGTTAAAAAAAACAAGTGAAAATCTGGCATTAATAAAGTTATTCTCTTAAGAGTTACTTTCCCTTTTGTCTGCACTAAAACGTGGCTACTCCTGAACACAACATTTCCCTTACAACCCTCTCAGAGAGGTGGGAGAGGTTCGTATTATCGCCCATTATTAGTTCCAGACTATTTCCATCCTTCCCAAGAAATGATGCTGGCTTTTCTGAAGCTTACGCTATTCAGCCCCACCACCGCCTTTTGATCATCAGCCAAACTCTCAGGGTCTTGTTCTTTGTAAACCTGGTTCTTGGTCGTCTCTCAAATCTTGTCACCATTCTCAGTAACATCAACACCCACGCGGCCACAAAGCCAACAACCTGGGCAGTTTTTGTGCCCCTTTTCTTCTGTTCTACCTCGACCAATCCTTTCTCACACAGTCATATATCAGACCTTGTCATCAGCGGATGGTGCACCACCACTGAAATTTCAATTTGAGACTTCCATTGTCCAGCCAAAATTTCTGATTCATCCATGTCCGTCTGCTTTAACACAGTCACTGAACCAACTCTTCCATCCCACAGAAATCTCCAATTCATTTGACCTCAACATGTACCCATCGTCCTTCAGAACTTTTCTCACTTCCCTCTGTATCTAGCTTAGGTGCCTCAACATAATCCCTTTTGCGAATGCCATTAATTTTGTTGTCTCTCTCCTATTGACCTTGTCTGGATTTGATTCTAAATTGAATCAAAATATCTACCTTCTCCATTCTCGTACAGCTGGATTTAGCAAAATAAATAAATAAATAAAAACCAAACAAATACATAAATAAAATTAATATATATGTTTTATATTACACAATCAGGCTGGCTGATTTCATTTTTGCTAATAACTGTACATCTAAAATGTGTACTCGAAATTGTCTTGTATTCTCCTTTCCTCTCCATGATGACTATTTTATTCATTTGCTCTTTTCAAATGTCCCCTCCATGCCCTCTGAGCTGCTTCTGAGTTGTTGAGTTTATAATCTCACACTTCATTGAAAAAAATCTGCATCTTCTCACATAAATGCCTATCATATGCATTTCCATCTTATTCTTTTCTGTTAAAAATCCACATATCTATTAATTAATTGGTGAATGGACAAAGTATGCTATATCATACCATGAAATATCACTCAGTGATAAAAAGGAATGAAATTCGAACCCATGCAACAACATGGATGGATAAACTTCAAAAGCATTGTGCTACATAAAAGAATCCAGTCACAAAAAGCTACATACTGTAGGATTCCATGTATGTGACAGTGCAGAAAAGGCAAAACTAAAGGTACAAAAATCAGATCAGTAGTTGCCAGAATCCAGGGATTAAAGGGAGAGAATTGACTGCAAAGGGGCACAAGGGAACTCTGGTGTTACAGAAATATTTTATATCTTAGCAGTGGTCATTTCACAACTGTATACTTTGGTTAAAATTCATTAAATTGCATACTTATAAAGGGTGCATTTATATTGTTGGTAAATTTTACCTTAAGAAATCTTAAAAACGAAATAATCCATTCATATGTTAATAATAGTTTTAAAAACATAATATTAAATTTCACCTGGTCTGCAAATAAACACTATGTGTAGAAATGGTCCCATGAATAAGTTCAAGCAAGTAGACTACTTTTATGTTATACTGTGAAATATGTATGCATAAAACCAATTTACAATTATTAAACTATATAGTTTATGATTATGAGTATAATCATAAAGGTAACTGCTGTGTAACCACTCAAGTCAAAAAACAGTGCACTGTCAACACTGCAAAACTTTTACCTAGCAGAGAATTGCTGAGTCATAGGAAGAAGGAAGGAAAGAAAGGAAGGAAGAAAGAAATGAAGGAAAAGATTCATATAATTTAGAAAGGAGGGAGGGAGAAAAGAAGGCAGGTTATTAAACACCATGACAGCTTATTGAAACGAATCAAATCTTTTTGTTAATAAAATAAAATCAGAAAATGTTAAATCAACAATTTTTAGATAAAATTTTACTATCTGATAAAAATAATATGTCACAGCTAAAGTTGTAAAGTTGCAAATTTTAGAGCATAAAAGAATTCATGAACAAAAAAATCTGAACCTTAAATCAGTATTATAATTCTAATTTACACCACCTAAAAGAAGAATGTTACAAGAGTTCTCTATAATAGAAGACCAATACAAGAGTCATAAGTAACTTAGTCAAAATTTACAATTAAAAAGGATGAATTTTACTGTATGTAAATTATACCTCCATAAACTTGACTTTAAAAAATATGCAACAGTAAGGTTAAAGGTTAAATTACTATAAGTTTCTAAATGCTGACTAAGCTTCTGAACATTTATCAACACACAGCAGTAACAGAGCTTGTGGTCTAGCATTGGTCTGCCTGTGAGCCACACTTTGAGTAGCACAAAAGGCTTGAGGTGATTCAGGTTTGGTTTTAAGGTAAGAATCTTATTTAGATGGTGCTGTGTACCAGGAGAAGCACAATATTTGGTTGTCTTATCTTTCTGTGACGTCAAGATTCAGATCCAGTCAGTTCATCTAAAGATTTTCTCAGCCATGCATAATCATAACCTAGAGCAGGCCTGTTATTTCATTAGGGGCTGCAAAACAGTGCATGGTCTCATATTCCTTTTGCATTTATTAAATGGAATTCTTTTAACAGAGAACTTTTCTGCATTGACCATTTTGTTACCCTAAGATACTGTCCATATAAGAAAGATGGCATCTTTAGTATCATCATAAACTCATGATTCCTTCATACGATGTGTTCCATTTGTTTTCATTCCTCAGCTGGCACGTGTCACCACATCACCAGTGACCTCCATTTTTCCCAGTCCAATGGGAATTTTTCATCTTCCTCTAACTTGATCTCTCAGCAGCACTCCACACTGTTGACTGTAACACCACTCTCTTTGGAATGTTTCCTGTCTGATTAGCAATTTCTTTTCAGAGTTCTTGGCTGGTTCTTTCTCTGTCTGAATTCTGGAATTATCAGGGTTACCCTAGGATTTAGTTTGGGATTTTCTTTTCCATATATTCTCTTCCTCCTAGGTGATTACATTCATCTCCTGGCCTTAAATGCTATCTATATCCATGTCCTAATCCCAGAACCTATGGATGTCACTTATTTGGAAAAAGGGTTTTGCAGATATACTTAAATAGAGAATCTCAAGATACGATCATCCTGGATGATTTGGGCTGGCCCTAGATCCAGTGCCGAGCATCCTTACAGAAGACACAGAGGACGGAGAAGAGGGGAAGGCCGTCTGAAGATGGATGCAGAGACTGCTGTTATAAATGCACATGCCGAGGAACACTTAGAGTCAACAGGAGCTGGAAACCAAGGAAGACACGTACCCAAGGGCCTTCAAAGGAAGTACGGGCCTGTCAACCAACTCTGTGATTTTAAGCTTCTGGCCTTCAGAACTGTGAAAGAATAAGTTTCTGTTGTTTAAAGCCATCAAGTTTGTGGTAATGTCTTACAGCAGCCCTCAGAAACGAATACAAGGTCTCATAAAGAACTTCTGTAGGAGAAACTCCAAGAATCAGAGTAATTACCGGAGGACTGAAGGTTGACATTTTGGTCAAGAGGGACTTTTGGCAGCTCTTAAACAGTGTAACTTTTTCTTCATGCAGGAAAAAATAAATGATAAAACTTATAACAAGCTTCATAGCCTTAGCTCTTAACTATTTAATACAAGAAATTTGTTGAATAACTACTAAATATCCAAAGGTATAGCATTATTAACTCATTATTTACTGAGATTGCCTCCTTTACATTTAGGAAATATTCTATTCCTGTTCATTTATTGTTTCACTATTGTTGTACACAATATCTTACTTATGGTTAAGTACTATGAAATGAATGAACAGTGACGCAAGATTACAGAGTACATTTAATTGCTTACCTTGAAACTATTCTGGTCCTTACAGGTGTTTCTGGAATAAAGGGAATGCTCTTAGAAGAATTCTTTTTTTGTTTACAAAGTATTCTTTCATTATTCATTTTATGTTTATGAGCTGTCAGCTTGTAGAGATTATAAATACGATCAACAACTTTGGACCTACTTCTTACATCCTAAAAAAGAAAATGTACATTTATTAAAAACCAAGAATAATTAAATTTTTTTGCTCTAGACTAGCAAACTCAATCATAATAAACAAACACTATGAAGTAAACATTCGAGCTTCTGACCATCAAGAACAGAAGCTCTCCAAATATAGCAGGCAGATTGATTTAAATTATGAACTAATTTGCTAGGTAATTAATTATAAAGAAGACAAATATTCAAAAGCTGTATATTTAACTCCACACTGAATACAAAAAGGAAATATTATAGTCAATACACCTACCATATCGTTACCAAGTCTTGTGAATTTTACCTCTTCCAAGTTTCCGAAGTCATTCACCTAATCTCTCACTGGCACGATCTCTTGCCTAGACCACTACATACATACATACACTTGCCTCCTCCTTTAATGGTCTTCCTCTATCCACACATGCTCTCCCAAATTCATTCTTCAATCAGCAGCCAGAATAATGTTAAAATTTAAATTGGAAAACATCATTCCCTTACTTAAAATCCTTCAGTGGTTTCCCTTTGTTATCAGGATAACAGCCACAATTCAGACATGGCTTATCATTATTCCTATGTTTGTTGTGACATTTAGAGAGAATAACTGAGGTCTCACCATAGAAAAGCTTGAAATATATTTATGATTACAACAGGAGGATAAGGAGTTATATACATATCTGGTTTTCTACATTGCTAGGATAATTTATTATTCTCTCTAGTTAAATGGGAAATGGATGCTTTTATTGCTGTAATAAATTCTATTTGCATATTTCAGTTTCTTTAATGTCTGAAAGAAACAGCTTCATGCATGTGTGCGCACACAAGGGTTTTCAAAAAATTTGTGAAAAAATTAGTATTATCTTTAATTCTATATTTCCACAAACTTTTTGAAGTACCCTTGTATATATATATATATCCTGAATTCATTGTTATCAGTGTAAAAAGCAGATTTGAATACATACAAACCCTATTTTAGTGTAATAATTACTGAAGGAAAAGACACACACTTAACAACCTAAAAAAAAAACCTTAACAAAATGTAACTAATTAATACGTACAGAGGCTCGATTTGTTGTCTTCAATAAAACAGCCAACAAACAACAAGTTTTTGTGAAAATGCTTCCACCCTTGTCTGCAACTTTGTCACCAGGCTTTACTCGATACATCTGCAAAAGCTCCAACAGTGTATCTATACAATTTTCTACATCATAAACTGCTGCCGTAGTCTTCTCATACTGGAAGAAAACAGAATGAAATTAAAAGTTATAATAAACACATACCTTTAGAAACAGCTCAACCATGAAGAGCTTAGAGCCAAATTTTTGAGCCATCTGCAGCATGTGCAAAGGAGTTCATGAAATGACTTTTTTTGTTAATACTGTCATTTCTGGATCTATCTTACATGCTTATTCACATTTTAACCTTTTTCTTTCCCATCTACTTCTAAAGTTCCACATATAATGAATCAAATCTAAAATCTCTGAAAATGAGCATCTCGAATTAAATAAAAGCAAGGTTTTAAAGACCATTTTAGTAAGAACCTCTTAGGAAAAAGGTAACATCTGTGATAGTTAATCGTGGGGTAAGATAATGATAAAGATAAGATCTAATTAGTTACCCTATTACATGCTTCTAGAGAGGAAGATGAACTTGCTTTGAAATAAAGCAAAATAAATATGATACTAGAAAGTATAGAATATATTTTTCATGTTTCATTTATCTAATTTTTTCAATAGCTTCCTATTGAAATTTGCATGGTAGCAAATAATGATGATACTGAGATAATAATAACATTAATAGAAACACTTGTATGGCATGTCTGTGTATCAAGCACTTTATGCAGAATAATTTATTTAATCCTCACTATAACATTCTATGGTGGGTACTATTACTATATCCCTCTTATAGTTGAAGGAAGTGAATCACAAGGAGGCTAAGGAACCTATAATATGCTGCACAGCTGGAATTCAAACTCAGGTAGTTTGGCATCAGAGTATGTATTCTTAACCACTACCTCTCAATATGAAAACACCAGGTAATTTGCTCTAAGTTGTGATTGAGGGGTTGGGTAAGAAAGATAAATCTTTCATATTAATACCTTTGAATGCATATAAATATAGTTTGTTACAGATATCAACTACCAGCCCAAAGTCAAAAGACTTAAATTCTGATATATAGAGCATTACAAGGTAACTAAGTTCCAGTAATATTTTTCTTCATCATGTTCCTCCAGATATAATTATAATGAGGTTCTACTGTCTTGATATAATACGGTGCAGAACAATACCAGCTGTAGAGTCAGACAGAGATGAATCCAAATTCAGCCCTACCCCTTGTGACACTCAGGTTCTTAGGAGAGGAACCTAACTTCTAAAAGTATTATTCCTTCTCTATAAAATGGAAATAATGTGAACTACCTTAGAGAATTATTATAAAAATTAAATTAAATAATGCATGAAAAATACTAGCATGTGCTAAATACTTACTAAATGTTATCCACTATTGTTATTAATTTTACAAAGGAAGAAGAAATAAAATCTAATATTAAAATTTAATATTAATAGATTAAACATTTTCCCCCCAAGATTCTTGCACACAAATGAATTTAAGAGACTTAAGTTCTAGTAATGAGCAAACATAAACATACACTTAATTTGCAGGGTCACATTTCTTGACCAATGAATATTTCATTATTAAAATGGAAAACTACCTTAGCTACATGAAGCAAGACTTGTACAGCATATTTGATGACTTCCATGCAAGGAACACTACGATTACAACTTCTGATCAGAACAAATATTTTAGAAATTGCTCCACTCTGGGCCATGTTCTCACAGCAAAGTGGAGACAATCTAGTAACTACCTCTGAAAGTGGGGGGAAAAAAAAGCACAGGTTAATTCACAGCTACAAAATGAAGTTTTGGCAAATACTGTACTATTACAACATTTTTAAACATTCAAAGGTAAAAATTTACTCCTAACCTTATTCAAGATATTATTAAAACGAACTAACCCAGGTGCTTTAAAGCCTCAAGAATAGCAGAAAGGTGCTTATATGTCAAAAGATAATGAAGTGCAAGTGCAGTTCTTTTGTAGAGTTTGTTTTCTTCTCGAATCTCTCTACTGGCAACTTGAAGACTTAGTCGTATAGCTTTCACTTTTGTACAGTCATTTTTCTTCCTCCAAGAATAGCCTCTCCATAATGCCTTAAAGAGATAAAGCAAAGTAATTTTAAGATTACAGCCAACTATGTTTTCAACTTAGATAGATATCTACATTTATTTCCACAATGTAAATATTTTCAGTAAATTTATATGGTATGATCAGATACATTTCAACTAAAACCACAATTCAGGTTGTAATAAATAGTAAAATCAACTTTGCTAAAAGGAATTTACATATATAGTATTCCTGTATGTAAACTGAGGCATCATTCACTGGCCAAAAATGTCAAAATCTATTCAAAATGTTAAAACACTGTTTCATTTCTTAATCATAAACCTCCTGTAGGGAATTTGAAAATAAAAGCCTTAGCAATGAAATTATGGTAATGTAGTATTCATGAGTTAGACTACTGGCTAATCTCTTAGCTTTTTAAAGCATATGTGAGTTTATAAAATGTTAGCTACCATGTAGATGAATTGCCAACCAAAGTCTTAAACTAAAAACCACACAATTTTCACTTACCTGAATTTTAGTGATTCCACTATTAAATTTTTCCTGTTTTTTACGAAGGAGAAAATGGCGTACTGCTTTCTGTATTACTGATGCAGCCCTATTTTGCTGTTTCAGAGATTCTTGAACTTCATGCTCAATTTTTATGATGCTATGATAATTCTGAACAAACCTCTTTTGTTGTAATCTTGCTCGAAACCATCTCTGTTTTAAACATACAAAGACTTTTTTCACTTTTACTTCAGGTTAAAAAAAAAAAAAATATATATATATATATATACACACACATACATAAATGAAAGAAATAGAACAGTATATTAAAATATTTCAGTCCCCTCCAGTGGCATTACTTCCCCCTCCACTTGGTACAAACCCTTGCAGTCAATGTCAGGGGTGTGGGGATATGTGTACGTGCATGTGTGTAAGTGTTTAACCCTGCACAACACTGCCTTCATTTTACAATTTATATAAATTCTATCAAACTGTATATGTTATTCTGCAATTTGTTTCTTTCACTTAGTATTTTATATGTAAATATGTTAAATATACAAATAAATAGGATTTTTCTCTAAAATATATAAAAAATTCCTGTAAATCATAATAAAAAAAGAACATCCAACAGAAAAAAGGGCAAAGTGCATGGGAAAAAAAACACATTAAAAAAAGGACAGAATATACAGATATGAACTTGAATAACCAACACATATGAAAAAGTTTTGGAATTGCTAGCAATCAAATCCAAAAACAAAACAAAAATGAGATCCCATTTCCCATTTACATGAGAATAGTAAAAATTAGAAAGTCTTCTGGTGCCATGTGTAGGCAAGGATGTGGAGAAACAGGTACCCTCAGACTCTGCTGCTAGGACTATAATTATAATTACATCAGAGAATAATTCACAACTTCACTTTTGTGCCGTAGGGCATGAACCTACTTCTAACCGTCAAATCATCCTCACAGACAATGCTGAAAGGCTAAATATGATAGGACCTTAGCATAAAGTATTTGGAAATTACTTATTATAATATCAAAAATTTCTAACAGACAAATTATATCATATAGTTTTACTGCAAGGGAGAAGTTAACCTGAATACAGATGACTGAATCAAGCTGCCTGTTAGCATTCTTCATAGCCATGTGAAGTTTATATGCTCTTTGAATTTTAAGAGCAGACAGGTGAAAATACGCAGCTGCTGTGAAGTGAAGAAGCCGAATTTTGGCTCTCTGTTCTAAAATCTAAAGGAGGGAAGAAAAAAAGAGCATTAATAATCAAGTATCCAACTCCTCAGATAATCAATAAGTGTTTATTTTTGTATAACCTCAGTATCAAGTTATATAAACTAGCAAGAATAAATTAACTTTTAATTATTACAATTATTTACATTGTAATTCAGAGTGATTTAGAATCCTTTACTATACGATATGTCCAATAGTGTAACTCATAATTCAAGGTATAGAAAGCAAAATTATATTTTTGGCACTTTACTAAAGAATAATATCATTTAATTTAACTAAACTATCCAGTAATAGCTAGATTGGTCTTAATGTTTTGCAATGTTATTATAATGAGAGAAGGGTATGAATGTTAAATTCAAAAAAGGTTATAGTATTCCAAGCAGAACTGTTAGAATACTGTTACAATATTAAATCAGAAAAAATTATATGAATTAATTTCTCCAGTATTAGATAGCATAGTGCAAATGCAGCATAAGACTCCTGCAGCATAAGTGTTCTACTACGGCCTCTGGGCTTCAGACTTCTGATTCAGTAAACAAAATACAAATGATTTCTTCTTTTTAACTTTAAATCCAATTATTTTGTTTATGCCAGTACTTCACATATTGGAAGGTCGAAGGTCACGAGCTCCCTTAAAAAGGGTTCTCTCCAGCTGATGACATGAAAGCTATCACAGGGATGGTAGTTACAACACTTCAGAGAGATGCCTGGTGGGAGCAAAAGGCTACTTGAAGAGCAAGTGGCCTTCTTCACATATGGAGCCTTGATCTCATACTGCTTTCAGGTCCTTTGTTAAGATTTATTATACAAGAGACATTTTATTTTGCATCTTTGACAGCGAGCATCTCTGAGAAATAGTGGGGTCATAGAACAAAAATCTGACAACCAGTGCTTTTGTTACATGGCTTTGCAGCAGCTAAATTGATTCACGTTAATGGTTATATTAGTTCTGAAGTTATTCTCCAAAATCTAAAATTTCTTAACACTATTTATCATCAAATACTTTCATTTCTTTAGACTTAAAATACTTGAAAATACTTACTTTTTTTCTTACTAACCAACCACGCACCAGTGCTTGTAGAATAACTGTAGATTTTTTTAATTCAACATATTTTATCCTTTCACACTTCCCAGCCTCCTTGGCTCGTATATATCTTTGTATGATCAAAGCAGCAGATTTCTGCTGAAGATAGACCTGCCTTCCTTTATATCCTCTGAAATGTGCTTGGATCAAACAAGCAGCCCGATGTCTCTATAAGGAAAAATTTGGAAGTAGCATTAATAGCTAGAAATAATAAAATTTTCAACCCACTATAGGTTCTTAAATTTCTCAATGTTAAATTAAGATGGCATAATTATGTTTTACTCTACATTTATAGTTTAAGGATGCCTTATTTCACAGACATGAAAAGATGATATAGCATTATTACCAAACCTATATAAGTCTATAGCAAAAATGAAGGTACAAGCCAGGGTCAATAAGTAGCTGGTGCTTATTCCATTCATCCTCTTGATTCCTTTCATTGTGAGAGGAAAAAAGGACCAACATTATTACAGGACAAATACATTTAATAAAAATGCTAGGTACAATACGAAGAGCAGAGTGGTCGTATATACATCTATGAGGAAAGCTATCTGTAGCTTCAAGAACCCTACCACCAGCACACCTTAGATTTGTCACTTACGTAACATCCTGACAGCCAATTCCTAATACACACAAAGAAACAATATGAATTAAAATGGCTTTAATTTATTTAAGCTAGATTTGTCTTACAATATAACTCCCCATCTACTAGCAGAATGACCTTGTTCAAGTCGCTTTGCCTCTCTAAATCTCAGTTTCCTCATCTGTACAATTATTATGCTAATAGTAACTACCTCATAAGGTTGTTATGAGGATCAAATTAGTTAGTAAATATACAAGAGCTTATCCAATGCCTGGCATGTATTAGGCATCAGCAGTAAGAGTAATAATAATAGTGGTTGTATAACTACAGTGAATATGACATGAACACTGAAATTTACAAATAAGATTTTAATTTTGAGTTACTTAATGAAAGACCCTAAGTACTGTAGCTATTCTAAAACTTTGCAACTGGCTAGTAACGGGATCTGAGACCTTGACCTTGGTTGTTATAACATTGCACTCTAACAAACTGGGCTAACTGGCCAGCCCTGATCTTAAATATTTTATATAGATCACCAATTGTGCCTTAAAGAGCATGTTATTAATTACTCATACTACACAAAGTATGCTGTATCTTTATGATCTTCTCCAAATAAATTGTTTATGTTCATTTAAGTCACTACAAACTTGGGTTTGAGAATATTTTATAAATATAGATATATAACAAAAAAATACCAGCAAATAGTTATTTTATGGGTGAATAAAATTTTTAATTGACTGCAATTGATGTGTGTAAAATAAATGAATAGTTAGGTCTTAAAAACATTCTTTTTGTTTGTTTTCTGTTTCCTAAAGTAGTTCTTTGCAGAGTTGTTTTTTTGTACCTACTTTTATCACTAAGAAGTTCTCACGAGCTATTCTTGCAGAAAGTGTAGCTCTCCATTTTCTCTGAATGATAATTGTTGATGCTCTCACATTCAAAAACCTAAAAAGTAGTTATTGAAAAGCAATTTCAAATTACTTCAATCTATTCAACAGATATTTATTGCCTCCCCTTTAAATACTCGAGCAGAAAGGAAATATAAGAAAGGCAATGACAAAATAAAAGAAAGTGGAAAAGTATTCTTCACACTTAGGTTCTAACAATCAGAATTTTACACACACACACTCTCACACACATTGACACAATGAAAAAAATAAAAACTTTGCAATTGACAATATTCCAGTGGATGAGAAATATGAAGTTCTATCACTCTAGTATGATGAAGACTTTTGAACAGGATTAAAACAAAATATCATTATCTAGATCTAGACAAAAACCTAGATGTAGTGGGTGCTGGAAGAAATAATGGTAAAGTATAAAATCTGAGTCCGTACTGTGAGTCTTTGAGCAGAATAGTATTGGGGAGATTATGAGCAACATCAGGCAAATGATATATGAATGCTCCTTTGAAAGGAAGGACTGGCATCATCAAAATACCTAGATAGAGCTATTCTTAAACAGAATTGGAGAAAAATAAAAAAATGTGGGCTGGCCGGTTAGCTTGATTGGTTAGAGTGTGGTGCCGGTAACACCACGGTCCAGGGTTTGATCCCTTGTCAGCCAGCCACCAAGGGAGGGGGAAAAAAAGAGTGCTACAGATTAAACTTTAGGGCTTAATGTAGTTCTAACAGATAAAATGAGAATGGACAGGCTCTTTGATCTGTTCTCGGTAATGTAGAAAAAGTAGAAAGATCAGCTTGTCTTGTTGCCACATTTTTTAGAAAATAAGGCTGAGTGTCAATGAGAAAAATTCTGAATTTCAGTACAGGAAAAATTAGATAGTGATCTTTAATCGCTGATAGTAGCAACTGTATCTTTATAGGTTAAGTCCTGCTATGGACTTGATCCTGGAACTCTTCTAACACTAGTGCGCTCTCCTAGAACAATCTATAATACCATCACTGATACAATAATTCAGCAGTTATGGAAACTGAAGAAAAATTCTTATACTGAAAAATTAAAAAAAATAGATGATCTAGTAACAGCTTCTGAAAATGTGTGTAGAAGAAATGAACTAGGAATAAGAAAATACAGGTTGGTCACTAGGGTCGCCATCATTAAGGATAGAGTATAAGGAAAAATACAAAGTAAAAAAAGAAAAGAGAAACAAATGAGTAAAAAACCAAATTTTGCCAGCAGTCAAGTCAACAGACAACATGAATCAATGCTCTAACAAGGAAACCAAGATTTAACTAGATTATTTTATTCACTTCCCACCTGTCTGTCCTTACCCTCATCCCTATGAACATGAATTAATCAAGTATATGTAAATATTTTTTTACTAAATTATATTGTCAAGCTATGCTCTATCTCTAAAAAGCAAGGCAGTCCAAGAGATATATTTTGTTTCATTAATGAAGAAAACACCAACAAAACCAACCACATAAATTAAGCACAGCAAATACTTAAGAGAAAAATCGATAAGCAGTGTTATTTTATATAAGGACTTGGCTACTACACACACATACTCTCACACTCTTCCACAGAGTTATGATATATTACCGTGTTCTCTCCAGTTTGGTATAGAAGGAACCTTGAATAAGTTTAACAGCTTTTAATACAGCTAAATATTCTTTGCGTGCTCTCCAGCATCTATACCATGCTTGAATCTTGCATGCAGCTTTCATTTTACATAAATATTTCTTGGCTTTATATCTCCTCCACGCAGCCTAGTAAACATGTAAATATAACCAGTATGCAATGAGCTGTCTATTTTTTCTAAATTGGAAGAGTCAGCATTAAAGACTGATAAAAAAAAACCTGGAAGTTAATATAAGATTAATGAAGACAAAAACTAATTGCAGACTCTCTACTAGACTTTGACACACAGTGAGCTCTCTGAGAACAGTGACACTTACTATAGTACCACGAGCTTTACCACATACACCCTGTGGCTGGCTGCCGGCCCAGACTAACAGAAACCTAACCAATATTTAGGAATTGCATGATATTCACAATATATGGAAAGCCAGATATGTGCGTTGTCCTCAGCACCTCAACCCATGTGGAAGAACAGAAAGGAAATGAACACACTGACCTGCTCCACTTCCTGGGTGGAAGGAGGAATCCTTCCCACCCCATATACATACTGAGTTTTGTTTCCAGCCTACAGCAGAATCCTGAGAGCCCCTATCCATGATGGGACTGTCAGACTTTCCAATTCTGGCAACCTTGTGGCTGACTAAAAGTTAAGTGACAGCTACAATTGATTGAATTTAAGCACTAAGAACTATTAGTCTTTACAATAATGTAGGTAGATAATATTATAACCTCTAATTTAGAGATGAGGAAATCAAGGACCAGAGAGGTTGAGCAACTTGTTGATGTCACATAGGTTAATAAGTGGAAGAGCTATTAATAAATATCTTGCAAAATGGTTATTAAGATCTCTATTTTACAAATAAACAAAAATTAGGTTGAGAAAGACTTGTTACTACATAGCCAGTAAGTGATAGTCAAGATTTGAACCCATGACTATTTGACTCCAAAGCCCATCCAATAAATACAGCTGCCACACCTTATATGGATATTAAGTTCTAAATTCCATTGATGAGGCACTGTATGGTCAGAGTTACTTTTGGGATGTCCTTAAGCAAAAGCAGTTGAATTCTCATAAGATTATTATTTTGGTCTTTTAGTCATTTCAGCTGAATATAACGCAAATACATCCAATTAATATCTCTCAATTCTGAACTTCTTGGTAGCATTTGGAATTTGAGCACTCCTTCCTTCCTCTCTCAATCCTTGGTTTCTTGATACTATAATCTTTTAGTTGTCTTCTTCCCCTGTTAATATCATGTGTTAGCTTCTCCACTTAATGTCCTTAAATTTCAATGTTCTTCCAGACTCCAGTCCGAGGTCCTCTTCTTTCACCCATTCTATACATTTTCCCCAGGCGATCCCATTACTCTCACAACCTCATAAAAATGCACAAGTCAAATTCTAAAATCCATACTACTCTCCTAAACCAGACAAACATGGTCAACTGCCTTACTAGACAGTTACTAGACTGGGACATCTGCTAGGTACTTCAGACTTCATGTGCTGCAAACTTAATTCATCAAAACCAATTCCTGGGGCTGGCCAGTTAGTTTGCTTGGTTAGAGTGTGGTGTTATAACACCAAAGTCTGTGTCTGGATCCCCATACCAGCCAGCCGCAAACAAATAAAAACAAAATCAAAAGCAAGAACCCACTCCTGACTTTGTTCCTATGTCAGTGAATGGTACAATCTACTCAGTTACTTAAGTCACAAACATGGCGCGGTTCCCTGTTTACGCTCTCTATACTGCCAATTCTATCCTTCCAAACAAGTTCCTAAAATCCTGTCGCCACTAACCTATACTGAACCACAACTCTCTTCCCTGACCTACTGCCGACTGTCTCCTAACTGGTCTCCCTGTTTCTAGTCTTGTCTCCTTTCCATCTTCCACATTCCTGCCAGAGTAATTTTTTTTTTTAATGATTCTGGCTTTCTCCTGCTTAAATTCCTCTAGAACTTCTCTTAGTCTGTTGGATAAAGACTAATCTTTTTTCAATATCTTACAAAGCCATCCACAACCTTACTCCCTCTATTGCAGACCTGGTCCTATATCACTTTTTATCATTCTCTTGGTTTTGGATTTTTCCATGTTATCTCCTGCAGCTGGAATATTCCTTCCATAAATTTTACTTGGCTATTTCCAATTCATCCTTCAGCTTAACATTTCAGCTTAAGTGTCGCTTGCTCTGGTAAGCATTCTCTGGCACTGAGATTAGTTTAGGTTTCCCTTCTTCATGTTTCCAGCAACCTACACTTCTCATTTTGTATTATAATTACGCTTCCTTGCTCAATTAAGTTCTCTGAGAATAGCAACTAAGTATATCTTACTCACTGCCTATTCTTAACACCCAGTACAGTATTTGGCCCATGGCCAGCACTCAATGTTTGTTGAATGAAAACAGTGTTTTTAAGCTTAACAGCAACCCAGCAAGATACCAGCATATTGACCCAAGGTTCAAAGCCCAGGTTATTGCTTGTAGAACAGAAATAGCTGAAGTACTCAGATTCAGTTCTTAGGTCTGCCTCTTTCTGTGCAACACTGGCAAGTTACTTAACCTATCTCAGTTTCCTCATATTTTAAAAGAGAAATAACACTTCTACACACATTTGGAGAACAGATTAAACAAAATAATACGAAAGTGTTTTGGAATAATAATAATTTAGATAATAATTCCTCATGCATTTGGAGAATAAACAAAATAATACAAAAGTGCTTTGGAAGCCAAAAGTACTAAAAACTCTGAATAAAGTATGTCAATCTAGTCTAAGTAGCCACGGTTAACAGATTAGTAGAGGAATAAAGTTATTCTATTTGGCCTAAACTATGCCAAATAACACTTTACCTTAGCTTAAATTTTTCATTAAAAAAATAACTTCGCCAAATAGAGCTCCCATCTTTCCAAAATTCTTCCAGGAGTGTTATAATTAACAGCTACTGAAATGAACCGAGCACAGGGTGACCAGGGCTAGAACAATCCCAGTCCTGTGCTGTCTTGGATGAATTATTATTGGTACCACTTTCCAACTCTCAAAAATGTTCCAATGTGGAAGGCAAATAATACGGTCGCTTAAACTAAATATTATTATGACCTGCTTATGCTTACTTTATAAATTCTAACAAATACTGGTCAAAAGAAAGACTGAAGTTTTGTATTTAAATATATACATACCTGAATTGCTATGGTGCTATTTCTAATTTTCTGAAACTTCCGTTTCTGTATAAATCCTTTCATTCCAGCCTGAATGATGATAACACTGCTCCTGATTTGTAAATAAACTTGTCTTTGATGTTTGGCAGACAGAAAGGCTCTGTGGTGATTTTGTAAAACCACTGCTGCTTTTCTATATAACAGAAACTGTTTTCTTGTTTGCCATGTCCTGAAATAATGCTGCAAAGTAATAGCAGCTCTTTTCTGCTGAACAAATCTTCTTCGATACACAGCCATCTGGAGCAAGGACTGAATTCGTAAAGCAGCACTTTTCTGTGTTTCCAGTTTTCTTCTGACTGTTTTATGAGAAGCTTTTTGAATGGTTACTGCAGCCCTGCTTTGAGAATGACACTCTGCTTCCTGTGAATAAGCAAGTAAGAAGTTGTATGCCACTTTTGAATCATCAAATGCCCACTTTGCACAGCGTTACATTGAGTTTTAGCTCTGTAACAGCAGAACGCAGATTGGTTAACAATGGCTGTCACCCTTTCCTCAGGTATGTTTTTCAATTGATCTAACTTTCATGCCTCTAAAAGCAGCCAGAATAGTTCATACAGATTTCTGAACTGCTAAAATTTTTCCTTTCCCTTTTTACTCTGATAATAATTCTCTACAACTGCAGTTTTCTTTGCCTGATAATCAGCTTTACCCCGTGCATTTGGTAGAAGGACTGAATCAGTGTAGCAGTCAGGTGCATCAATTAGATATAGCCCTTCATACCTTGAAACCTCTGTAAAAAGACCGCATACAAATAACTGCTTCAGCACACAATGCAGTTAGTACTCTGTACCTTCTCTGGACAGAAAATACTGTTACTCTACGATGGAGATAATGCCTTATTTTAAAAGGTTTAAAATGCTTTTGAACAATAAAGGCAGCTGATGCTATCTCAATCTGTTTCCTTATGTTCATGTCCTGAAAACTTACCTGAGTAAAAGTTGCTGCTTTCTTAAGCACATTGTGTTGAAGAGCTTTCTGTTTCTTTTTATTTACTCTGTATCTTTCTTGTATTACTTTTGTAGCACACCGAAGTTTCTGGTAGAAATAATACTGTCTATACATTCTATATGTACTTTGTATTAGGATAGCAGCTCTGTGTTTTTCCCTCAAAAGCTGTCTTGCTTTCATTCCTTTATAAGCAGCCTGAATGATCACAGCAGAGTGCCATTGTCTGATATAATTTTCTCTTCGCAATTTTGCAGCCCTGTATGTTCGATAACGTTGCTGAATTACAACTGAGGCATGTTTCCAAGTCTGATATGTAACACATGTTCTGTGCATTTTGAAAGTGGCCTGAATGAGAACTGCAGCCCTGTGCATTTCCTGTAATTTCTTCTTTACTATCAGTCTTCGGTAAGATGACTGTATTGTAATGGCTGCCTTTCTTAACTGCAGGAATTGGTACAATTTATGCTTGGCACAAATGGTGGCTCGATACTTCCTCTGAACAAAAATAGTAGCTTTTTTGAGGGAAGTGAATCTTTTCCTCATCACTAAAGATCTAAACCTGCTCTGAATAAGGGTTGCAGAAGAATGCATACTCTTCAATTGTCTTCTAGTTTTCATACCCCTAAACGCAGCCTGAAGGATCAGGGCAGAATGTCTTTGTCTGAGGTAATTCTGCCTCTGCAGTTCTGCAGCTCTATTTGCTTGGTATCGCTGTTGGATAACAACCGAGGCCTTTTTCAAAGCCTGGTATCTCACGTGTACTCTGTGCATTCTGAAAGCAGTCTGAATGAAAGTAGCAGCCCTGTGCATTTCTTGCATTTTTTTCCTTACCACCCATCTTCTGTAAGATGACTGGATTTTAATAACTGCCTTTTGTAACTGAAGGAATTGTTGTAAGTGATGCTTTGCACAGAGATTTGCACGATGTTTTCTTTGAATCCAAACAACACTTTTCTTGAGAGACAGAAATCTTCGCCTCATCATTAGAGTTCTAAATCTTCGCTGAATAAGGGTTGCGGCTAAATGCATAACCTTTAAATGTTTTCTAGCTTTCATCCCTCTAAAAACAGCCTGAATGTAAATTACTGAATGCCTCAATGTGTTATACCTGTGAAATTGCATGTTTCTTTCTTTCACTGCCCGGTACCTTTGCTGTACTATTTTTGTTACCTTCTTTAGCTTATTAAAATATGTTTGCTGTCTGTATCTTCTATAGCATGACTGAAGGAGTGTTGCTGCAATCTGCATCTTTCTCAGAGTCTGTCTAACTCTTACTCCTCTAAAACCTGCCTGAATAACATTAACTGCTTTCAAAATTGTCAGGTACTTTTCATGTTGAATTTTACCTTGGTAATATGCTCGATATTGTACTTGAATTATAACAGCTGCTTTTCTCATCATATGGTATCTTACTCTTGACTGATGCATTTTAAACATAGCTTTAATTAAAGTGGATGCCTTGTGCATGTCTTGAATATGCCTTCTTACTCTACTACCTCTATAAACAGCTTGGATTTTAATTGCTGTCTTCTTTAAATTAAGATATTCCTTATGTTGATGATTTGCAATTTTAATGTCTCGATACCATCTCTGAATTATAACAGCTGAAGCTCTATAAGTTGCATATTTCTTTTTGGTTTTGTAAGCTCTATATTTAGACTGTATAGTAACTGCTGCTTTGTTGCAATCCTTTATTCTTTTTCTCACTTTCATACCCCGGTAGGCTGACTGTAAAATTACTATAGCTGCTTTTGTTTTCAAATATAAGTGATGCTGTTCCCTTCCAATACTGTAAGCTCTATAATACATTTGAACCAGAAGAGCAGCTTTTTTCATGTTTTTCCACCTCTTTTGTTGCACATGCATTCTATAGTATGACTGTATGATGATAGCACATTTGTGCTGCCTTTGAATCTGTCTTCTCAGTGTTTTTGCCTTCCATGTAGATTGAAGCATCAGTACTGCATGACGGAGTTCAATATACTCCATACGTTGTTTCTTTCCTGAAGCCCATGCTCTCAGATGTTGCTGGATGACTACTGCTGCTGTTTTTAATAACGTAAACCGTTTCCGGGCCTTGGCCATTCTAAAAACAGACTGAATCTTCATTGCGGCTTGATGTTCCCTTCTGATCTGCTTGCGAACTTTCCTGCCACGATAAGCAGACTGGAGAGAAATCACAGCTGCCCTTGTCTTTAAAAAGTGTATTCTTACGTCGCAAACAGTCTTGTGTGCCCTGTACCATCTCTGAATCTTCATAGTAGACTGAAGCATAGATTGATATTTCACTTTTTTACTATAGCCTCTAAAAGCAGTTTGAATTTTAAGAGCAGCTATAGATTGTTGTTTGATTAGCTGGCGTACTTTATAACCTCTATAAGCTGCTTGTAAGCAAGTGGCGGCTCTTTTGATTTGCAAGAAGTTCCTCCTCTGACTGACTTGTGCTTTGTATGCATGATAGTAATTCTGAATGACAACAATTGCTTTATAAATTTTCAGGTAGTACTGCCGTATCCTTCTCATTCTGCAATACGATTGTAGTAAAATAGCAGCTTTTCTTTGCAACCTCATCTGCTTTCGGGCCAGGTATCCTCTAACAAAAGCTTGCAGTTTAATACAAGATTCCCGCATCTGCATATATTCTTCTCTCTTTTGTGCAGCCATCTTTTTGGAACGGTACCATTTCTGGATAAGCAGGGCAGCTGCTTTTAAATGTAAATATTGTTTACGTGTTTGTTTCATCTTGACAACTGACTGCAATTTTATTGTAGCATTTTTTAGGCTCAGAAATTTCTTTTTGAACACATAAGCACGATAATTCGATTGAATCTTTATAATAGATGCAAGGATGTGAATAAATGTTTTCCTGGCTTGCATCCCTCTATATGCAGATTGTAGAACAATGACAGCAGAGCGTGTTTTCTGATAAGACACTAGAACTTTCCTGGCTGACACGTAAGCTTGGAAATGAGTCTGAATTATGAGGGCCGCTTTCTTCATCTTCTTATACTTCTGTAATTGTTGGTATCTTCTTATGTGTGCTTGCAATTTGATAACAATCTTCTTAAAGTTTAAAAATCGAAATCTGTCTTGTCTCATTCTCCAATATGACTGAATAACACAAGCAGCTCTAATTCGTTTGTGTAAATTATGAGCTTTCATTCTCCTGAAAGCAGCCTGTAGTAGAATGGCTGCAGCTCGTTTCTGCAAATAGTTGGTGCGCTCAATCTTTCCTTTCAGATATGCTTTGTAGTACTTCTGGATAATCAGTATAGACTCTTTCTTTCTTTTATATAACTTTTGGGCTTGAAAGCACCGAAATCTTCTCTGAATGATAACAACACAAGATCTAATATAAATATATTTCTGTAATTCTTTGTGCATCCTATACCATGATTGTATAATAATAGCAGATGTTTCTTTAGCTTGTTTCCTAAAATGCCATTCTCTAAAAGCTCTTTGCAATATTATCACAGCTTTTATTTGTAATTGCATTTTACGTAGCTTCCATCTTCTGAACATAGACTGGATTATAAGGCATGATGATTTTAGCATTTCATATCTTTTTTGATCTTGTTTTCTTCTTAAACAAGCACGCCAATGCCTCTGAATTGTAATTGTAGCCCAAAGATATCGTTTATAAGATGTAACAGCAATTATCATTCTTATCCTAGATTGCAAGATGATTGTATAATATTTTAATTCCAGAAATCTTTTTCTAGTGGAATATCTTCTCCAATACCCCTGAAAAAAACGTAAGAAAGGACACAAAGTAAAATAGACATAGTTTTCTATACCTAACATTTTTGAAAATACTAATTTTTCCAACATTCTGCCAAAAAATAAAAAATAAATTAGAAAACCAGGAAGTAATGGGTTATCGGGTATAAAGCTATGCTATCTACCCTAAGTGAATGAATGTACAGTATATACACACTGTACCCCACAAACGTGTGCAATTAATATTTAAAAAAATTAGAAAGCAAACACATTTTTGCTAGATACGTCTCATTTATAGTTTAGTTTTTACATTAATACAGCTGTAGCCAATTCAGAAATCAGCCTCAATCCTAATTGCATTTATACTGCCTTTATATTCTACAGTCATAAGAAATAAAAGCAAGTTTATGTTATATTAGAAGCAGAAGAGTCATAATAAACAATAGTAATATTCTTTTGCTATCCATTGATTCTCAGTAATTTCCTATGAATTTATTTCTGCATCTTATGTGTTCCCTTTATTTCAGGATTGCTAAGTTATCTTATAATGACTGGAAAATGTTTATGTGAGGGATCCTATACTATCATATTACAGGCCTGATAATATAAATACCAAAATTTGAGAAATAAATGAGCCAGATCACTTTCATAATCACTATTTTCTTTAAGAATACAATTCCTTCCTTTTCTCAAATTTAGAAATTATAGGCACATGGTTAAAGAGTAGAATTCTGAAAAGACTTAAGTGACAAATCTTTTGTCTCTTGACCCCTTAGTTAACCTAACAATATGCTAGGCTTAACAAAAAGGGCTACAAAGCCTCAAGCTGACTCCAGTTACTGCATGTAAAAGACCAGACCACAGGCTACAGGTAATCAAGCTGTGGGTGTTCCAGCAGTAAGACCATTCCTTTATCCAAAACTCTCCAAACATTGTTAAGACTGGGGGAAAAAGGGGAGAGGAGTGGTTCCGTACTATATCTTAATTTTTCTTACACATAAGTAGAACAGTACAGAGGCTGGGAACCTCATTCTTCTAGCACTCTCCATGCAGTTATGCTTGGCCCAACACACCTATCCATGAGAGGAGAGTTAGGGAGAAAATGTACATCCTGCTAACTCTTTTCCTATAAGTTTTATTTGTTTCTTTCTCTACTAAGTGTCACCTGAGATTTTGTTCTTACCCTTCAGCCTGACAAAGAATGATGTGTACACCACATTATTTCTCTTACTAGGAAGAGATGCATAAGTAATTAAAATATTTATGCAACTACAGTCAAGCATATTTGCTCAAAATGACTTCAAAATCTATATAAATGTAAGGTATTATTATGCTGCCTTAAAAGAAATAAGGCAAAGCAGACATAGTATTCAGAGTCTCAGATACCATTATATTCACCCCCACTCCACCCCCACTCCACCCCCAGATATTTGTGAAATCTTCAAACTAAGAAACTGAAAGGTCACTGTGGACACCTTACTTTACACTTCAATAATCATTTCTTCTAAATATGCCAGGGGATGGGAGGAGGGTGGAGGAATAAACAGGTGGAGCACATAGGACTTTTAGGGGACGGAAGCTATTGTGAATGATAATGTAATGGTGGACATATCATTACATAGTTGTCAAATCCACAAAACTATACAACACAAAGAGTGAAACAGCCTAATGTAAACTAACGTATTGATATTGGTTCATAATTTATAAAAAAAAAGGACTACAAAAATAAAAAGAAGAAAAATAAAAAGAACAGAGCTTCAGAGACCTATGGGGCAAACTCAAATGCTCTTAAGAGTTCTGTCATCAAAATTCTAGGAGAGGAAAAGGAGTGCAGTGCAAAAATATTTTTGAAAAAATAATGGCTCAAATTTTCCCAAATGTTGTTATAAAATTATATATTCAAAAAATTCAGTAAACCTGGAACAAGATAATCTCAAAGAAATCAATGGCCAGACACAACATAATCAAGCTGCTGAAAACACACACACACACACACACACACACACACACACACACACACACACACACACCCTTAAAACGTAGCCACAGAGAAGGCCGGCCCGGTGGTGCACTGGAGAGTGCGCCACTTGGGAGCGCAGCGGCGCTCCCACTGAGGGTTCGGATCCCATGTGAAGACCGGTTCCGTTCACTGGCTGAGCGCGGTACGGGCGCAAAACTGAGGGTTGCGATCCCGTTGCCAGTCCCCGGTACAGGCGCGACACCGAGGGTTGCGATCCCATTACCGGTCAGTAAAAAAGACAAAAAGAAAAAAAAAAAAGTAGCCACAGAGAAATGTCAAATTACCTATAGAAAAACTACAATTTGAATGACATGATTTCATCAAAAACCATAAAGGCCAAAAAGAATGGATGAAACATTTTTAAAGTGTTAAAAGATTTGTGAACCAGAAAAAATATCTTTCAAGAATGAATGTGAAATAAACACATTCTTAGATGAAGGAAAACTAAGTAAACTTGGAACATCAGGAATGAAAGCCGAGCAAAATAACAAATATCTGTACGAATATAAGAGAATATCCTGCTCATGTGCTCTTTAAAATATTATGGCTGAAAGCAAAAAATTATAACATTGCATAATGTGATTTTTAATGTATGTAGATGTAATACATAAGACAGGTACAACATAAAAGTGGTAGGGGAGTTACGGGGACCTAGATAGTGATGTTTTCTACATTCCATTTAAAGTGATAAAATATTGACTCTAAGAGAATAAAAAGTTATGTACAGTGTAACCCCTAAGGCAACCACTAGAAAGCCTACATAAATGGATATAGTCAAAAAGAAATAAACTAAGGCTGGCCATTAGCTTAGTTGGTTAGAGAGCAGCATCATAACACCAAGGTAAAGGGTTTGGATCCCCTTACTGGCGAGCCACCAAAAAGGAAAAAAAAAAAAAGAAAATTCAATAGAAAAAAATGAACTTTCAAGTCAAAAAGAAAGTCAACTAAAATGGAATACTGAACAGTGTTCAAATAATTGAAAAGACAGGAAAAAAGAAAGAGAAGAATGAAGGAGAGAGAACCTCCAGAAAACAAAACGATAGACCTAAAACCAAACATACAATAGAACCCCCTTATCCACGGTTTTGCTTTCAGTGGTTTCAGTTACCTGTAGTCAACTATGGTACAAAACATTAAACAGCAAATTCCAGAAATCAACAATTCATAACTTTTAAATTGTGAGCTGTTCTGAGTAATATAAAGAAAAGTCATGTTGTCCTGCTCTGTCCCACCCGAGATGTGAATCATCCCTTTGTCCAAGGTATCCAAGCTGTATATACTACCTGGCTGCTAATTACTTAGTAGCAGATCGACTGTCACAGTATTGCAATGTTTGTGTTCAAGTAATCCTTATTTTACTTGATAACGGCCCCAAAGTACAAGAGTAGTGATGCTGGAATATTGGTATAATTGTTCTATATTATTATTAGTTATTGTTGTTAATCTCTTACTATGCATAATTTATAAATTAAACTTTATCGTAGGTATGTATGTATAGGAAAAAACATAGTTTATATAAGGTTCAGTACTATCCATGGTTTCAGGCATCCACTGGGGATCTTCGAATGTACCCCTGCAGATTAGGAGAACTACTATATTAATAAAATAAGGCTGGCTGGCTAGCTCAGTTGGTTAGAGCATGGTGTTGATGATGCCAAGGTCAAGGGTTCAGATCCCTGTACCAGTCAGCCACCCAAAAGAATAGATAAATAAAAATAAATAAATTAATACTTAAAATATAAATGGTCTAAACCACCAATTAAAAGATTTTCAAAACAAAAACTATATGCTGTCTATTTAAAAACTCACTTCATATAAAATGTTACAGGTAAGTAAAAAGTAAAAGAAAAAATATATACCCTGTAAATGATAATGAAGGGAAAGCTAGAGTGATTATTTTAATAGCAAGCAAGGTAGACTGCAGAGCAAAAAAAATTACCGGAGATAAAGAGGGACATTACATAATGATAAAAGGGTCAACTCACGAAGAAGAAATAATTCCAAATGTGTATGCACCTAACAACAGAGCTTTAAAATACATGAAGCAAAAACTGGAAGAACAGAAAGGAGAAAGACAAATCCACAATTATAATTGGAGACTTAAATACCTCTCAGTGTTAGAATAAAAAGAAAGAAAATCAGTAAAGATATCAAAGAACTGAACACCATCAACCAAATGTATCTATCTGACATTTATAGAAAACTCCACCCAACAACAGCAGAATACACGTTCTTTTTAAGTACACATAGAACATTCATAGAGATCAGGGGTCAGGTAAAGTTTTTCTGTAAAAGGCCAGATACAAATATCTTCAGCTTTGTGGGCCAGCCAGCTCAATTCTGCTATTACAGTGCAAAAGCACCCCTTAAACGATACATAAATAAGTGGCTGTGTTGTAAAAAACTGCATTTACAAAACTACATGGTAGGCCAAATTTGGCCCACAGATTTGCCAATCCCTGAATAAAATGGATCATATCCTGGGTCATAAAAAAACCTTACCAAATGTAAAAGAATTGAAATCATTACAGAGTATGTTCTCTGATCATAATGAAATTGAACCAAAAATCAATAAGAAAAAAATAATAGCATGATCTGCAATACTTGGAAAGTCAATAACACATTCTTAAATATTGTCTGAGTCATAGAAGCCTCATTAGAAACCAAAATATATTTTGAATCGAATAAAAATGAAACTATACCATATCAAAGTTTGTGAAATGTGGCTAAAGCTATACTTAGAAGGAATATAAGAATATAAGCCATTAATGGATTATATTAAAAGAGAAAGGACTCGAATCAGTTAACTAAGATTCTACTGAAAGAAACTATAAAAAGAACAAAATAAATCTAAACAAGCAGAAAAAATTAAATGATAAAGAGCAGAAATTAATGAAACCAAATGCTTCTTCAATGAAAAGATCAAGAAAATTAATAAACCTCTGGAAAGACTGACAAAGAAAAGAGAGAAAATACAAATTACCAGTATCAGGAATGAAAAAGG